AACATAGTTTCTAAGAATCTACATTAGGAAGATTACCCTAATAATTTTTTATGTAACAATAACTTTAAATATACATATCAAATTAGTAGTTATAAAAAAAGCTTGCATAGTATGATTCTTTAAGTTTATTATCAATACATTAGTTAGGTACACATTATATTACTAAGATATTACTATAAAACATCAATAAAAGAATTAAAAATCCTTCTACTCCTTCTACTCCTTCTGTTAAACTATATAGTTCTTTTAAATAAAAATCTTTAACTAAAAATGTTATTAGATTTATTATTGAAACTATACAACCTCTAAATGTTGTAAAAGATCCTGATTTTATTAATATAGTAAATAGATTTGATTATCATTACAAAATTCCTTATACTAAAATTCTTAAAAAATCAGATTTTAAAAATATATAAATAGGTAAAAATAAACTAAAAAATCAACTTATGTAAGTATATATATATATTTTTAATATTAGATGCCTGAAGTTTACTAGCATATATATCTTATTATAGCTCATTATAATATCTAATTTTTAGCTATGTAATTATCTTATTTATATGATGCAATTGAAATTCAAAAGCATTTGCTTAATTTGTTTTATAACTGGAATATTAAATCAAAAATAATTGTATAAATGGAAAAATATTTAAAGAGATGATAAAACTCTTAAGTCTTTTAAAATTGCAACATATTTTTTAAGTAATGTAAAGTATTTAACTATTGGATTTACATATCTGAGCATATGTAATTTAAAAGGAAGCTTAAATCTTACAAAAATGCGATCTTAAAAGGTTTAATATCAAAATAGAGTTTTTTTCAAGATTTATATTAAAAGGATTATTTTTTTATATCCTCATTTTAAAAGTTTAGATGTTATCAATTCTTATGAAACATATGATAGTATTATTAATAAATTAAAAGAAGAGTTTTAAATCTTTAAAACAAAATAACAGTAATATTTCTATAATATCTGATAAGGAAATAGATAATTTAGCAATAGCAATAGAAACATTTAGACAAAAAAAAATTCTAAAATTGCTACTCTAATAAAGAATGAATTTCATTATCATTTTAATATATTAGAATTGCCTACTTTTGAGGAGTATGATCCTTTTTTATGGTGGTCAGCAAATAAAAATCAATATTAAATTTTGCATAAATTAGCAATAAAATATCTTTCTATACCTTTCACATTAGAAAGGCTGGTATAAATATCTAATTATCAAATTTTTTTTTTTTTTAGCAAGTATTAACAATCAATAATATATCAAATAGTTAAATAAATTTATTAAATTTAAAAAAATCCATTATTATAAATAAATTTCTTTAAGTGTATATAATTATCTCTTTATCTGTAAGCCTTTGCAGGTGTATTTGTCTGCAAAAATTCTGAATTTTTATGTCACATTGGAAAACTTAACGGGTAAGATAAACCATTACAAATTATATATTTTTGAATAGCCTAGAATTTGAATTTTATATTCATAATATATATTTTTTTATCAAAATAAGTACAAATATATTTTTACTATAGTTAAAGTAATTCAATTATTTATAAATTTAAAAATTATAAAATTTTTCCTTTAAGCTGGTAAATTTTCTACAAAATATAAATTTAGCTATTTATACCTTAAAAAAAGTTTGTAAATCCATCAAAATCACATATTTTTTATTATTGTTATTTTTCAAACTCATTAGTACAATTTTTAAGTTTAATATGTAATAAAAAAATCAATTTTATTTTTTCTCAATGAAAGTATGAAATTTTTTGAAACATGTTCGGTAACTTTTATTATAATATAGTGAAATGTTATATCTGCTACACCAAAAATTTGATTAAGAAGGATTCTGTAAAATTGATCCTTCAATTTTTTTTTGCTGATACCGACATCACAAACAAGCCTTTCTATTATTTCTATATTCAACATAATGATTATTACCAACTAACTGGCATACTGGTAATTCAAATAAACTAGAAACTCAGATTTTTTTAGACCTATTTTCATTTACATTAATTGAGTCTATTTGTCTATCTTTACCACTATGAGTAACTTTTTTAAAAGAATTATCATCATTAATTGATTTTTAATTAGATCATGAATTAAATTCAGCCTAAAACTTTTGTGATCTTTTGTTATTCCTAATTTTTTACAATTAGGTAAGAATTTATGATAGACATATCCAACAATTAGAAGAATAAGGGTGGTCTAACCTAATAAACAGTTAATTGTGTTGAATAATAGCTACGTAATTGATCAGTAATGTCGACATTTCCATGTGATGGTTGTAGTCATCAATTATTTTTGAGATTGGCAAAATTTTACAAGCTGCATCTTTAAATATGGATTTAACCTTTTTGTTGTTTATACTTGTTTCTCTAGGTCTTCTATGTTCTTTAGAAATTTTACTATCAATATTGTGTATCATGATCAGTATTGTCACTAGCCCATTATCTATTCACAATAAAGATGCTCGCTGAAACTCCTTCAAAATAATTTTGTCATATCCTTTACTATGTTTTTAATATAGTTTCAGTTAATTTCAGGTTTTGGGATTTTGTCATACCCCTCACTATGTTTTAATATAATTTCAGCTGTTTATTAATAGCTTTTTTTGGATTTCGTCCCTCATCTTTAATCTATAACATTGCCAGCACATTATCTACAACAACATTCTTTAAAAAAATCCCACTCATTTTTTTTTTCTTTAGAATTACAGGAAATTTTGCTATATTCGTTCAGATAGTTCTGCACGTGTTAATGTCTTTTTCTCGAAGAAAAGAAAACAGGTTTACACTTGAGAAGAAGTTATTCATCTAAACGTTAAATTATTTTTGTAATGGTAATTGGCCAACTAGATGATACACCTCTGCGCCAATTTTATTAACACTTTCAATAACATCAACATTAGATACCTTGACTCTTGATGTGAACATGAAAGTATATGTGTAACTTGAATCACATAAAGACAATATCTTATATTCCTCTGGAGTGGGTTTATTCTTTATTCTAAACGTATGAGCACTTTGTCCAGAAAATCAGGCTATCATTTCATCTATAGAAACATTAGATGCAAGTATGTATAGTTTTTTGGAAATATTGCGAACGTTAGAAGTTAGTGGTTCGAGTTTTGAAAAAATATTCATTCATTTTGTAATGTCTGAAATATGCAGATATCTTTTAATGTAAAAAGTTAAAAAAATAATTTAATCAAAATTTTTAAATAAAATAAATCAAAGCAATTATCAATTATTCTATTTATCTGTTGAAAACGAAATAAAGACATTAAATTTATGATCTCGTGAGTTGGATAAATAGCACCTGATCTCCAATAATCTTCTATAGTTAGAATTTGAAATATACCCATATATATTACAAGGGCAAACCATATCTTTAACTCATTTACCATCAATTCAGTCCATTCATGACTTTTATCAGATGAATTATTTCTCTTTATATTTTGATAATATGCGTATATATTTGTGTTTTGAACGATAAGCTCAACTTGCTTTTTAGAGAAAATTTCTGAAAAAATTACATATGGAGTGAGATTTTCGGGTTGAAAGGAATTAGGTAAAGTTATATCTGAATCGTGGTAATTATGTTGAATAGGTGTATATTCTAAAGGAAGTTGCGAAATTTCATCATTATCATTCTTTTTTTGTTTTCTTTTATTAGCATTAGACTTGTTTCCACTATCCTCATTATTATCATTTACCTCATCTAAACAATCTCGTTTTCGTGTGAACTGTCAAATATAATTATTAAAATTTTCTTCATTATTTTCTTCGGTTTCTGACATTACGTGAACAAAAGACAAAATACTCAATGTTGATAATTTCCTGATCTAGATTAAATAATCTACATTGTTGCAATATTCTCAGTGATTTTAATACAAAAATCCGAAATTTAATGTACATTTTAATGAACTTTATTGCCAAAAAAAATTTGAATTGCCATTGAATTTCTGTAGGGAAAAAATTAGATTTTCGTAGAGAAAGAATTGGGTTTTCGTAAGGAAGAATTTGGGTTTCATAGAAAAAAAATTGGATTGTCATAGGAGAAAATTGATTTTCGTAGGGAAAAAGTTGGATTTTCAGAGAGAGAATTGTTTTCGTAGAGAAAAAATTGAAAAAACTTGGTGGCTTAAATTTGTACTATTCGCAGCCTGCAATTTTGTGTTACATTACACAAATTGTATCAAATTAAAGATTCGCCGGCTGCGAGCTATTTGTGGTACAAATGACCTGAATATGCTAAATTCCGCAGCCAAATTTGATTGCATTGCAGATGATAGGTCGTAGTGTTATATTTCGAAATTTTTTTGCTAATTTAATACATTTTTCATATAATGATTTAAATCTAAAGAAGTTCAAAGGCAAATTTGCCTGCATTACAGACGAAGGGATAAATTATAAAAACATTATCATTATATAAATTTACGTTAAAATTTTGATCAACAAACATTGCTGCGCCACAATTTTTTTTTTTATGGCGATTAGTTTCGATTATCCGAAATCGAAAATCGAATTTTAGAATCTAAACTTGCGAAATGATTAATCGCGATTAACCGATTCTAAATAATGGGAATCGATTACTATCCCTAGTCGACGCTCTATACAATCAGGTACGTTTATTAATTATAATTGGGGTTATTAAAATAAAATGTAAAGGGAAAAGGGAAAAGGGATAACGCGATATTTTTTATTATTAGGAATATCGAACTTTTATTATTACGAATATTAACATATCTTTTATTAATCCGCCATTTACATGTATATATAAAATGAATAATAAGACATTTTTGTCCAGGCCAGTGAACAATTCGGACCAAGAAACCATTATGGCCAGCCAATGGGGCAATATTGGCCAAATGATCGATAACGAACTAACTAAATGCTATTGTAAATATGTATATTTTGAAGAAAATTAATTTATTCAGTTTTAATTCAATCATATTACCATTATATTAAATACTAAGTAAACTTTTGCTTACTATTAACTCGAATATTTTGCTTTTAATTCTTTTATATTACGTTTTCTTGAAGAATTTATCATGGTTGAATCAGTATTTATTGTAGGTGGACTAATTTTTATATATATATTAATTGAATATTCCATTTAAAAATTTTAAAAAAATTCAACGTTAAATTTTAATTAATTTCAATACCTTGGAATATCAAAATCATATTCTTTTGAAACATATCCTAAAGAAAAAATAATTAATTAAAATTGAATTTTATATAATGGCTTTTATCATTGTTACTTTAATTAAAACTTTAAAACGTATAATAAGTACCTTGATTAATATATAATGAATTCATTATAGGTGAAGACCTGGAAAACAAAGAACTCGAGTTTCTACTCGTAAAAACTGCATTCGGATGCATTACAGCAATTTCAGGACAATGTTTCATTAGTTCTAATCGTTTTATTTCCGCTTGATCAAATTGGTATTTTTTCCCACGATACCAACCATCGAAAATTTTATGAACTTCTTTTATAATAGGCCTTTTTAAAGGATTAGGATCCCAACATCTTTTCATTAAACGAGCATAACATTCAGGAGTATCTTCTGTAATATCAGGTCGATTTCCATCAATAATATCAATAAGAAGTTCTGCTGCATTTTGTTTAACGTTAGCAAAAGGTTTATATCCAGTTGTAAGTTCCCACATAATCATTCCCATACTATAAATATCAGAAGCTTTTGAAACTGAACCGCCATTTAATACTTCAGGTGCTATATAGGGCATTACTCCAAATATTCCATCATTTGATGATGTATTATTCGCAGGTTGCGATAATCCTAAATCTCCAATTTGCCATTGATATCCATTTAAATAATTATCAAAAAATAATATGTTTCCGCTATGAATATCTCTATGTATAAAATTTGCGTTATGAATCGTCTTAAGACTTAAATTAGAAAAGTAATATATTAGTATGTAAATTAATAAAAAAAAAAAAGATCATACATACAACATGTAAATACCCATTAGAAATTTGGTGAAGAATGTCCAATTTTTTATACCAGTCAATATCTGTTAAATGTTTTTGTAAATATTCATGCAAATTTCCTTCTTTTGCATATTGCATTACTATCATATGTTCATTTGTATAAGGATTTTTTGTAATCCCATAGCAATGTAGAATATTGCTAAATTCTTTATAACAATATTGATATGATTTAAACTATAAAAAAAATTCAATATTAATAGTTTTCTATTTAAGACTTTTTTAAAAAATAATGTTAAATATAATGACCTCATTCAAAAAATCTTTGTTAAAATCTTGCGAATTGAAAAAACTTTTAATAGCTACGGTTATGTGTTCGTTTTTAAAACCATTTAACCAAGTTGCCTGATAAATATTACCAAAACCGCCTTGCGCTATTTTTTTAATATCTTTAAGTCGAGAATATGGTATCCATTTCATTTTTACGTGATCCATATGAACTAACTCATACATAGTATCCCGCCATGGTATGTAAGGAGCTGGATAAAGTTTTTTATTTAACGATTCTACCCATTCAAAGGAAAAACAATTTTATAAATGATTGTGCTGGTTATATTAAAAAAAATTGAAACTAAATCATTTATCCTTACCGAATTTTCTTATTTTCTTTATAAACATATTGAATATATCAGAGTACGTGTGATAGTAAGGATTGAAGGTATTATTATAAACATTAATATAGCGCAACCAAATTTCTTTTGATAATATAAACATTTTAGAAAAGGATTTTATCAAGGAAATATTTTATTGAATATGAAAATTTATTTTTTTAGGAAAATCGAACGATGATGATAGACTTATTTAGTGTATTATAAAGAATTCTGTAAATGTTTCTATCAAAGCAATACGGTTTGATTGTCTAAATCATTGATCAATATTTGTTTGACGGATCTAAAATTTGCAGTTCCGTTACTCCTAATCTTGATCAAATAGCCAATCAAAATTCAGTAAATATTTAGACACGGATTAGAAATGAACAGGCTTATCTACAAAACCACTGGTTACACGGCATCATTTTGAAAAACTGGATTTATGTTTAGCTTATTAATCGTTTATAAATGACTTGAGATAATCTAATCTCGAGTGTTATTAGATACCACCGTCTTTATACCTTAAATATTTTTCATGCGCATTATTTATTAGAATTTCAAAAACAATTATTTTTTTTTATGTAATGAAAGCCGAGTTTATTTATTTAAAAAAAAAGTGTTTTTTAAAAAAATTAAACGGTTAGAATAGTTGAGAATAAAATGTTTCGTTAAAATTAAATTCTTTTTTTAGCGATAATCCCTAAACAACATTTACAATTTTGTAAAAATAAAAATTGAACAAGAAATAATAACCATTATGCGACTTTTTTAGATCGAGAAATTTATTTATTACACCTTTATTTTCTTTGGAAATAACGATCTTTTATTTTTATTACACATTTTTGTCCCCTTAATCAAAAAAAAAAAAATATAACCAAATTTATAGTATTATGGCAAGAGTTTTAAATTTCAAATTTAAAGCTCCGAGAAGAGTTGTAATATCCGAAAATTAAGCACAGTATAAACGGATAATTCCATTGGCTGCATCAAATTTATAACATAAATTTAACACAATTTTATACTTTAAAAGACTAAAATTATTTAAAAATTGACGAATTTTTTTTTTACTGAAAAGCTTAGAGGTTATTTAATTTTTAAAAAATTCATTCAAGAGAAGCTTTCAGAAGAAAAGATTTTTTGACTTTCAAAAAAATAATAGTTATGTTTCAGCTTATGGTCACATGATACCTAAAAATTTAAATTTATAAATTTATGAATATAACAATAAAATCACAGTGGAAACAGTGTATTTTATATTTATAAAAAAATATTAATATTGATACGATCATTTGAAAAATCTCCAAAAATTTTAAAGTCTTGATAAGTGTTTTAATACATCAAACTTTTTTCATCAGTTAATTCTAATGACGGATGAAAATTAAGTTATGAAATATAGTGCTCCGAGCCGATCGAATCGTCCCGGGTCATTTGAGTCGATTTTCACGATTATGCGACCCGAATGATCAGGTGACGATATAAATGGTTTACACAAGTTACATTTAGATACTAATTTTGATAATACAACTTCTCTTTGAAAACAAAAGCATTGCATTGCGAAGTGATTTTTTTGCCAAAGAACTTTTTGAAGAGAGTTTCTTCCACCTGAACATAAAAAGTTAGATACCCATCGAGAAGTTAGATGTCTTAATTGCTCGTTATGTATTTTAATAGAGTATAATGCAAGTTATTATTATTTTTTTTAAAAAAAAATTTTATAGGACAAATAACATGGCTCCGCAGATCGGATATTCAAATACACAAATCTTTGGTATCATTTAGAACGACATCATTAAAATAAATATAATTCGCGCCTGTGTGTGTTTGAATTCCTGGTGGCAATAATATACTAAATTTGAATTATTGTATAACCAAAGAACAATAATCTTTCAAATTTAATACACTCTTTTCATTTCTGTATAAATAAATTTTTTTTTTACTTCGGTATTAATATTACGCTAAAAATTCGAGTCGAATCCGAGTTTAAAAATAATCGGGTCGAGTCGAATTCGGGTCCTGTAAATATTAACGGAGTTCGAATACGCTACAAACCCGACCCGACCCGACCTTACAGAGCACTAATAAAATAATTTAGATAGTAAAAACTTGGTTTAAAGATATACAGCACTATATGTAATGTAGTAACCCTACCCTCATTTGCAATTGTGGCACAGTAGGTAAGTTTGAAATTAAACTAACTGCTCGTTTCCTACATTTACAATAGATACCAAAATTTCAGGAAATTTATTTATTATTTTCTCTATTGCTACCTCGGCAACTGAATATAAATTAATTGGAATAAATGATGCATATATAAACGCCAATCTGAAATGACGAATCGCGATCGCAACAGCCTTTATGGGCATTGTTAATAAATCATTAATAACACTACTATTCCTTATGCTAATTTATTTGGCTTGAACTGTTTTATAAATTGAGAATAACATTTTTAACTTCAACGGATTTTTAGTTTTAAATAGACCGCAAAAAACACATAATAATATGAAAAATACCAATTTCTTTATCCAGAAACTTCTTAATACATGAAGTAAGTAGAAATCACGATAAATAGTTTTGTTAAAATTTTAAATTGTAATGGATCATACTTGGTTCCTTCAATCATTCCGGCCTTTTATTATTTTTTTTTTGAAGGATTCAAAATTTCACACGTGACGAATTTTCTTTTTTAGAATGATTATTTGTATTACATTACATCAATTAAATTGAATATGGCGCCAAAAAGGTCACATTCTTCTGTCACACTTCTGTCACACTTCTGTTACATGAACCAAACAATCAAATATAGATAAGCATGTAATTAAAAATTGTCTCCCCAGGTAAAGGACAGTTGGAAGAACATGCGGAAAGATCTTTGTGATCTTTGTGGGACAAAAGTAATTATATTATTATCCCTATTTGGTGATTTCTTTATTGTTTTCATAAATAGATATTTCCACGAGAAAATTGGAAGAATCCTAATAAATTCTATTATTAATCATAATGTATTTCCCCGAAGGAAATGTTGGAATTCTTTGGGAAAATTCCGTGATGAACCTTTGGAACTGAATTGTAACAGGTGTGAAGATCTCTATCGTATTCCTTTACTGGTTAAAAAAAAAAATAATAATAATATTCTACCTTCCCGATATGAAAGAAACTTCCATTTAAAGAGTTCACGGGATTTTAAAGCCGAAATTGGCAATTCTCGAAGTTGAACTTTTTGCTATTTTTACTCTTGAAGTTCGGAATTCCGAGTCTTTCATCAATCATGCGACAACTTTGATTCTTGAAAAATTTCTTTATTTAAATGATATGGTTCTGAACAAAAAAAAAAAATATTCCTTTTTAGCAACAAAAAAAAAACAATAAAAAAAAATTCTCTTCCACTTATTCCACTTAGTAGCATCAACAGAAAAAATTCTTTTCCTTTTTAGTTTCAAAAAAAAAAAATTCTCTTCCACTTAGTAGCATCAACAGAAAAAATTCTTAACCTTTTTAGTTTCAACAAAAAAAAAAATTTTTTTTAAAATCTTTCCTTTTTTTTTTGTTTTCGATAAATCAATGGACCCTAATCAAGTCAGAACCATTATGAATAATGGAAATTTTCCCCTGACACCAAAGGATTTAACCAACAAAAGAGATAGGAAGAAACATAGAGACCTTACCGCATATAACGTGTATTGTCGTGCTTTCGTCAAGACAATGGAGCTAAACAACATTCCCTTCCCACCAGAAAACACTCTCAAATGCTACATGACCATTTCATGGAAAGATGAAAGCTTTCGTATCAAAACTCTATGCAAAGAAATATCTGATGAATCAAAAATTTAAAATTATGTCATCATTATCTCAAAAAAAAAAAAAAAAATTATAAAAAAAAAGAAAATACACATAAATACAATATTGAAAACCCTTTGTCTAATAGCGTCTTAAATTATTTTTAAGTGGTAATCAAAATATTACTAAATTATGATATAAATACCTGTAAAAATGAAATTTCTTTTAAGCAGACCCTTTTTATGATGTAAGAAAATATGTTGAATTTTAAGCACTTATAGAGGAGCAACAAATTATAGAGAAACATTGGCATATGCATAATATAGAGATCACATTCAAAAAAAAATTCATTCTTAATCAATCATAATTAGAATTTATCGCATAAAACCCTAGATCATCCAATTCCCACATTTCCCCGCATTTATGAACAATTTAAATTATAGAAATTTTTTTTTATTTATCTTATTAACCCATATGAATAAAATCTAATTTAATATTTTGATCTTCAAAAATTAAAATCCGCAAATTGGTTGATGAACATAAAATTTCTGGATGTTTCAAACCTTTTAACGACATCTTCTTCCTTATACTTTTTAATCAAATCATTAAACCTAATTTTGTTTTTAACATATTCCTCTTTACTTAGCAATCTTTTCTCATAATAATTGACTAAAATTGGATACAAATACAACGATTTCCTTCCCGTCCATTGATTCAAGAATTGGTCCAAGGTGTCAATCTTAAAATAACAATAATGAAGTTGAAATTTACATAAACTAGATGGAGCAGATTCGTGTAATACATCCAATAATCTTTTCCCGATATTATCATCCATATATATACTCTCCCTATAGATGTATAAACCTTCCAATAATCTACAATTATTTAAAAGTAGTTTAAAATCTTCAAGAACTTCCTCTTTTAAAAATATCTTAAGATATCTAAGCTTTGGACAATACTTTGAGATCGCCTGAATCAGTTGTCTAATTTGATCTTCGGATTCATGATTCCCTTTTTCCAACCAAATCATTTGAAGATCTTTGGTTACTTGAATAATTTTTGTAGCCACGGAAAAGGATATACCGATTTGAAGTACTTGTAATTTAGGATAACTTGATGTGAAATTCAATTGCTTGTGAACTGCCACGTTACGATACCTATTGTCATATAAAACCAATTTTTGTATATCCGTTAACTTTGAAAAGAGGTTGTTATAAAAATTGGAACCCTTTTCCACCGATAAATTCAAATGAATAATACTCTTTGCTTTTTTGATTATTGCCCGTTCAATGGGATTAGACTTGTCTGTATTGTTTTCAACGAAATTATCTTTAATTATGATTGATCTTAATTTTTGTTGCTCTTCAATTAAACGGGCAAGTCCAGGATTCAGGCTTGTAAGATTAATATGTAATGTTTCGATTAATTTACATAAATTCGCGAAACCCTTGAAAACATGTTCGTCATTATTGTTATTGCAAGCCAATTGACTAAGTTTGGAAAGATTGGCTTCTGCCCCAGGAAATTCATATAATCGATAATTAATATTAGTTATATCCAAGTACTTGAGTGATGAACATTTACTAATGAAAAGTTTATATATTTCCTCTTTCAACATATTTTGTCGAGTTTGATTATATTCTTTAAAGACGCTCTCATAAATATCATTTTCCTTTTTCTCATCTGATGGATATATATGCTTGATGTGCGTACAGAAGCTGACGTAATCATACGATGCCTTTTGTTGGTCGGGTAGATTGATGCCCCGTTTAATCAATAGACTTCTTGATTTTTCTGGTAATTGCAAAAGAACGGTATTAAAAAAAGATTTCGCCTTTTCTACATCACAATTATCATTTAAGAACAAAGCCCAAGGGTCCCTCCATAAGAGCGGTAACAACCTTTCACACCAAAATTTACTAACGAATAAACAAGCGAAAAGAGCCTTTTTATCGTCGAATAATTTCTCAAATACAATAAATAGGCAATCTCCATTAAGCTTTGACATTTTTATCCTTGTCTTTTTTTTTTTATAATTCTTTTTTTTTATTATTTGAAAAACGAATAATTATATTAATTGAGATACTTTTTCTTTTATTATTTTTTTTTATAAAAAAAAGAAAAAAAAAAGGTAATTTACTGTGAACACAATTTAAATTTTTTTTTATTTCTCAATTAAGAACGAAGGCTACACGAATGTGGTCATTTGGCTTAAGTGTGTGTAACATTTAACGGTAACTGAAACAACCCTTTTCCCGACCGAGATCGACATTGGACTTGTTCTAACGAGTTCTAATGTAGAAGGGTTAAATTTCATTGATTGTATTCTTACCTTTTTTCATTGTTTAACCAAAATTCGAGAAACAAATGATGGAATCACACCAAAGTCCATTTTTGAATTCGTTCATTCTAATTGTAAGTTCATATTCAATGTGGAGTAACTAAATTTGACGAAGACCTACTTAATGGCCACGTTTCCCAATAATATAATTAATATAATGATTGATCAACATAGTATTAGACAAATATAGATTTTGCTAAACTGGTATATTGAGAATTTGAGAATTCTGACATTTTAAAAAATTCTACCGGAATATTCCTTTCAGGTGGCTAAATATGGGCAGATTTGCGAATCAAAATTTGATAATCATTTTGTAATTATTATTAATTATAAGAAGAAATAAAATTATTAAACTAATATACGTACGGTATCTCGCTATCTCTTGCATGAAATTTCACAAATAATATTATTTTTTATCATTTGATGTCTCGTTATCAAAAGCTTGCTTGACTTCTGAGATCATATAGTAGGAATTATAAAGCATACCAATTTCAATAATAGCCATTTGATAATTTCAAAAGCTTTTGAAAAATCACCCCTCCAATTCCGAAAAAAAGTAGAAATATAATTAATACTAACCAAAAAAAAACGAACGATAAAAATTCTGCCAAACGATGAAATTCGGTATCATCATGATTAGGTTCTATTATTGTACCCTCTAGTTTGAGTTGTCCGAAGGAATGACCAGATATAAATCCGCAAAAATTGGTTTATTTTTGAGCGCATCGACAAAATTACGGTTCCCAAAAAACTACAAAATTAAATATATGATAAGATCAAAATTAAAAATTTTAGAATATGACCATTTGATAACGCTTGATGTATCGTATCGAAATTTAATCACGTATATATTACTCATAAATAAGACAGTGTTCGTTTAAATGACAAAAGTTAAAGTCATTTGAGGGTAATGTTGGCAACATCCAAGTAATTCGCTAAAAAAATCGTTTAAAAACAAATTAAAATTAAAATTAATCTAAAAGTCAGGTATTAACAAAACGATAATAATAATAAAAACCATATTGCAGCAAGCAAGGAAAATCCCGAATAAAAACCTAAAAGTAATAATAACTATCTATCGTTTTTTTCGGCCCAAGTTATCAAGGGCAAAAAAAGAACTGACCAACCCAATGAATTAAAAAAGAAACTTCAACATATTATTTGATGGATGCGATCGACACCTTATCATGATTTAAATTAAAAAATAATGTATTCGGAAACATAATTTAAAATTTTTTTTTTGTTATGTAAGCAAATTTGAAATGTTATAAGAACGATCGAACTCCACTACCTCATTTAGAAACCAAAATTGAATTTTAGTTTTTCCAATCAACATGTATAAGGTAAAAGTTTAAGCAAATTGCAAATGTTTTTTGGGCATTCTTCATTATGCTCACAAGACATTTCATAGTTTCATTATCAAACATTTGAGAATTAGGTTGCCTAATTAAAAGGTTTAATACTATTATAATTTCCTTAATTCAATTTAAAATTTTATTATAGTTACTTAAAATACATTAATTAATAGAAACATAAAGCTGTGTGAAAAGTACCATAAAAAATATCATTTCACGTATTGAAAATAACCCGTTAAAAAATATTGTGGCGTAGTAAATGTTACATATCTTAGTTTATCTCAATAATATTGCAATCTTTTTGAAAAATTCTGAATCTTGTGAATCTTGTGAATCAAATGATATTTGCTCGTATATTCCATAGATTAAATTGAATAATAAACTTGTAAAACTTGTAAATATTGTCAATATTACTAAAGTAGCTATTCCTGCATCCTTGATATATAGTATCTAATTTCAAGACAGAAAAATGAATTAATTTGGAAATTTTTGCATTTCTCGCACTCTCATATTGGTAATATATTTACTTACAAGAATAACAATTTGAGGCATATATTTAATGATATTGAATATTCCGGCCCTGAATAGCCATTTTCTTACTTCAGGATCAAATTTAGTAATATCTACGAGTCATTTCATAATGACTATATCTACCATCGATAAAATCGTGGTGATTGTTGTCATAATAATATTTTCCCTCAACCAATCCCTAAAATCCTTTTTATTAGTTTGTTGAGTTTGTTGCATCATTACACCAAGTACAAATAAAAGATTAATTACTGCTGGTAATGTTAACGTCATGAAGCTAAAAGAAAAAAAAATTAGGGACTTGGACTCTTGAAATTTGCTGTCAAATAAGAGAATTTCTTAAGATGTAAATTTATACCTTGGAAAAAATAAGTCTGGAACAGTATTCACAATATTTATTAAAAATGCAACGTCCGAAGCAAAATCTAATAATTTGAGTAGAACTACAAACGTCGTTACATTTTTTCCCTAATGAATTAACCGATTACGTTAGAAATTGCTATCGTTGAAAAATGATCAAATGAAAAGTTGTGTATACAATGAGAAATATTAAAATTCCACCCGTTAATGCTGATATTTCCGTTAATGTATCTACAAAATTAAATAAGTTATGTTGATTTAACAGATGATTGGCCAGCGTTAAATGAAGATTTTTAAGATATGATCCCTACGAAATTCTGCAATAGTGAAATTACTAGATGAACTCATTATTATGAACGCAGATTTTCAATTATGGATAGGATGTAAGGTATTTATGGCCATTTTTTTTATTTTCGAATTTTTTTTCATTGAGAGAGTAGTTGGGTGTAACACGCATAGCTCTTTAAAACGCCTAGCATATGATGACTATCTTAGGAAATGACCGATGACATAATTTGGATTCGTCTAGATTCACGTGATAGTTATTAGCCATAATCCGTGTCTGATTGGTCAAAATATTTAATTTTGATTGGCTATTTGACGGAACTGCAATTTTTTCATAACTGTTCCGCTAAACAAATCTAACCAAATGTGGTAAATCGATCAATTGTGTATGTAAATAAATGAACGAAAATAACGAAAACCACGAAAACCACGAAACTTCAAATTCTAAATCAAATAAAAATAAAGAATATAATTCTTTATTACCTTTTAAACCTAATGAGACTTCTTTACCACCTTTACCACAATTAAAATATGCAGTTTCTCAAAACCCATATCAATTTAATCAAAGTTTTTTTCCACCTATCCAAATTCAAGAGTTCCGACTATAAATTCTATTCTTTTACCTTCAGCTCAATTTTATCAACATAATAATATATATAATAATAATAATAATCATAATAATGTTGTTGAGTTACATCAAAATAAAATTAACAGTTTATTGGAAAATAAAGTAAATGTCAAGGTTTTTTAAATTTATTTATATATTTCTTTTTTAAATATAATAAATTGTATTATTTACTAATTATTAATTATTAATTATTAATATAGTTTAATTTAGATCAATTAGAAACAGCAAATAAATCAGCAGCAACATCCAAAAAAAAAAGAAATTATCAAATGGTAGAAGATTAAGCACAAAAAAACTCTCAAAATCAAAATTCCTGGAATGATATTGAAATACAAATCATGCTGGATTTATATCTGAGAATTACAAAAAGTGGTCTAATCATAAAAATAAAGTTTATGAAAATTTAGTAAAGTCAAAAAAAGTTTTACTAGATCAAGATATTGGTCAAGTTAGAAATAAAATGAACAAGCTTTGTGAGAATATTTTTATAAAACGAAAGAATGTAATAAAACAGAAGCTAGTCTATCTACATAGAAATGGTATAAATGATTTGATGGATTTTATGGTCATAAAGAAAATGCTAATCCTTCATATATTTCTGATAGTATAATTATTAATAAGGAAATAGAAAAATATGATGAAATTTTGGTTAATGATGTGAAAGTAAAAGAAGAAGTTAAAAAAATTAATAATAGTTCAAAAAGGAATAAATAAAATATTATAAATACCCTTTCTAGTTCAATTGTATTAATGAATAAATCTAAAAAGAAATTTTTTGATAAAAAATTAGATTTACAAAGTAAAAAAATAAATAGTAAAATGGAATTGAAAAGTTTAAAATTAGAAATTTAAAAACAGAAACTTGAAATAGAAAAAATGAATGCCAAAAATATTAAAAAAATTGGAGATAAAGGAAATGAAACTAAAACAATAATGTTTTATAATTTTTCTTTTTGAAATTTATTGATTAAAAAATTAATTTGCTTTTACAATAAATAAATTTATTGATATTAATATATAATTAAAATGCTGATTTTTTTGGTAATAATTAGCAGAAATTAGACTATTTTCAGCCAACATTTAGCATTTTAAAAAAGTGATGAAATGGATTTTTTTAATTAGTATTCTCTTTAAAAAATTAAATAAAATAAAAAAATTAATAGTTTTATAAATATTTATCTAATACTAATAAAATTTAATGCATAATTATTTGATATTTACTAAACTTTTTTAATCAGATTTGAAAAGCATGTTTTATTTAACTAAAGCTATTTTATTAAATTATTTATTTTTTTTAGATAATTTCTTTTAGACTGAATTGCTTCGTTTTGCATATATAAGGATTTTCATTTATTAAACTTACTTTGATTTATTTTTTAGTTAGATTATATTGTAACATTATCCTTTAGATTGTAAATTTGCCTACTTATTTATTATAAATTCTCCTTTAATTTACTTTTATATATAATTAATGTTTTTAAAAAAAATTTTTAAATTAATTTTATAATTATATAATATATTATAACAAATATTATTAATATTTACTTAAAAGATAAAAATTTGTAATTTCTAAAAAAAATTATATTAAAAAATTTCATAATTAATCTAAATAAACTTTTTAGAATTTATTTTTAACTATATTAATCATAATAAAATTGAACAACTTTTATTATTATAATTTTTATAATTTATTAAGAAATTTTATGATTGTAATTAATAATAAAGTAATTCAATTAGTACGCAAACATTTAAATTTTTAAAAATTATTATAATAAATTGTTTTAAAATTAAATTATTTTAAAAACCTTTTAAAAACTTAAAATCTTTGTTAATAAATTTAATAAAAAATATATTAAACTATATTTTTATATAGTAATAATATTACTAAAATTATTATATAAAAAAAATTAACATTTTTCTTTAATTTTACAGATAAATTTGCCTGTTATAAATCTAAGAAATAGTAATTATTTCAAGCTTTTTTTTATTTTTTATTTTTTAGTTTTAGGATAACTTATTTTAAAAGTATTTTTTTTTAATTTTTTAGTTTTACTTTTTTTAATTTTATTTACTTTTAGATTTAATCATTTCATCTAGTATTTTTATTTCTTATTATTATTTTATAAGTAAAAATATTCTAAAAACAATGAATATATAATATATATATCAAAAAATGCAAATAAAATTATTTTATGATAACTTAATAAATCTAAAATTTAAGAATTACATTTTTCCATTTAATTTTTATAAATTATAAAATTATTTGAAATATAATTAGTCAAATTGCTAATATCTGTAATTATATGAAAATAACAAGTTCTTTTTTTATCTAGATCTTTAACTATTTCATTAATATTTAATAAATGCAATCTAAAATTCCAATATGATTTAAAAATAAGAAATATTTTTAATTTAATTATGGTAATTTTCTCTATATATTATATAAGTGACAATCATACCACTTATCATATATCACATATATCACACTATCACATTTGTGATATCATGATTGACTCAGTTATGGCTTAGGAATTAAAATGTTAATAAAATATTCTTTGATCAATTTAACTTTTTCAAATCAATCTTCTATTATCAAACTTTTACATAATAAATTATAATCATCTATATTGCAAAATAAATTTTAACAAATTCTTATATTTTACAAAAATCTTTTGAATTTAAGAAAAATATTTATCTATAATATCCTATGATATCATATAAATGGTTATATCATTTAGATATTATAATACCACGTAGTAAAAATAATTATCAAATTATAAAAATTGCCTTTATTACTAAAATAAAGTTTACATTATTAAATATATGGGAGGGGTCAGTAAAAAAGAAGGAAATCTAAATTTTGGTCAAAATTTATATTATTAGATCACTTGGCTAATCTCAATTATGTATACAAATTTGGCTTAATAATAAAAATTAACAAAATTTTTAGATTTTCCCCTTTTCTACTGACCGCTTTCCATATGTGCAACAGAATAAAAGAGCCTATTAATATTATTCTTTAATATGATACAAATAAGTGAAAAGCATTTATTTGTAAGGCAATATAAAAAAAGTTACAATACCAGTGATCAAAAAGAAGTAGGCTTAAATTATTACTGTTAAATGTAAGCTATAAGTTAGACTTAAAATTTTATTAATGTGTTATGATACTTTGTTATCATTATTTTAACAAGTTAAAATACTAAGCATTAATTAATTTTTACATGTTCTTACTTCTTTGCATTTATCATAGATATATTTCTTCTTATTTTCCTTTTCTATTGAATTTTCTTTATCACCATTTTATGCATTTTGATTTAAAAGAATCATAATGATTTTTTTCTATTCTTTTCTTTCTAACAGCAAAATCTGAAAATCTACTGTTTTCCAAATGGTAATAAAGAGTAATATCAAAGTTTGGAAATAGCATTCCTTCATAAAGGATTAGGACAAGTATTTAATTTAGGCAACATTTATCCCTTCCACTTAAATAAAATAAAGCAACAATAAAGAATGTAAGTAATAATTAATATGACAAACATAATAATCAATAGCTATGACATGCATCATTTTGTGGACTAGTTGAGATAATTCCATTTGTATTGTCATAGTTTTTCAGTTTGATTTGGTGAAAAATTTTGAGGGAACGTATAAGAATCATTAATTTCCAAACTTCATATTCAAAGTTTCTCTCAAGACCATCAACACTTTCAATAGAAGTATTCATTAGAATATTAGATATTATACTGTACAATCAAATTTAGAGACAATGTTCAAAGAAAACGAAACGAAGGAAATGTGAGAAAAATTTTAATTTATTTAAATATAGTCATATAGACTAAGTTATGTTGTACAATGATTACATCATCGGTGATGATTTCACATCCGTATTAGGGGTTTTTTTCTTTATAAAACAACCATGTAGCATATATAAAAAAGATGCCTTATCGTTATGTATAGATTAATCCTAAATTTAAAATAAGAATCCCATTCGGCTAAGAATATTGCCCCAGTCGCAAGTTCAGTCTTTTGAAAATTCCGAAGTCGTCTCTGCTTGATTTTTAAGAGGCGGCATAGCCGAAGACTCCGACTCCAACGGCTGGTATCAATGGAAATATCAATTCGTGAGAAAAAATCGTTTATTATTACGTGTTTAAGTTTTTAGTAGTTTAATCACTTTAATAATCAATCAGTTTTTTTCTTTTTTTATATATAATGTCCCTAAATTTCACTATAAATATACTAAAAAATATTAATTACTAAGATTTATAATTAGTATTACATTGCAACGGTTTACATACAGATATTTGACTTTTGTAGCAATTAACTCATTTGAAAAATTTTTAAATAAATCTTATCATAACAGTTTGCGTTATAAGAAATTGAAATTAGCCACGTGAAAAACGGACATTATTTAGTGATTTAGAAATTAATAATAAAAAGACTTTTTTTTTTTTATAAATGCTATTATTTCGAATGGCATATTCGTTTGAGAAAATGATAAAGATTAATAGAAATTAAGGAAAAAGAATTGATAAAAGTTTGGATCGATAAGTTTTATTTTTATAAAGCATAATCTTGTGAGCCCTGTGAGCCCGTACGATAATATAGATATTAATTAGCTGTTTTACAAAATATAAATTCATATAATGTAGTTTCTAAAGTTAACGCAAAGGTTTTATATCGTGTGAAGAAAAATCTTTATATACTTTATTAACAATAAATAAATAATGCCATTGCTAATATGAAATTTTTGTATGCTCTAAATTTATCCGGTAGTTTGGCAAAAAAAAAATTTTTTTAATTTTTTCATATCTAATTGTTTATTTTTATTTGCCGCAACAAATAAATTAACTATTTAAGTATATTTAGATTTGTATATCAAATATCATATGATAACTATTGTTAATAAAAGATTTGGTTTTATATTGTTGATATACTAGTATCTTGTAAGATACTTTTTTTTTAACGGACATATACCTTTTATAAATATCGAGTAAGGTAATTTCTCTACTATTTAATTGTAATTGAAAAAAATTATTTCCAAAAACTTTTTTATTTCTTTATGTGAAACTCATTTGATCCAGTAATTGACCCATATTTTTATATTTTTAAAAATGTTTCGGTGAATATTCAATTTTCTAATGTCATTATTATCATTTAAAACTAGATAACGCAATATTTAAATATATATTGTCCTCGTTATTGAACGAATATTGCACTTGCTTGTTCTTTGATGGGGATGTTGGTGGAATTCCTGGTATTGATTGCGAAGGTTCTACTGGTGATGGTTCTCCTGATTATGCTTCTGGTTCTGATGTTGGTGAATCTACTGGCTCCATACCTGGCTCTGATGACTGCGAATCTCGTGGTACTGTTAACGTTGTTGTTCTTAGCGAACCTTCTGGTTCTGCAGAATTTCCGATGATGGTAACCTCCCAGTTCCTTTCCATTAAATTTGTCTTTTATGATGATGGGGGTTCTAATGCAAAGGTTTATATGGTTTATATGCATTTGTTTAGAAGTAATCATAATAACAATACTTCGCAAAGATGTACAAATTTCATACTTGCTTTTTAATATTACCTAGATCTAGACGGGTCTTTGTTTTTTGATAGTTACTATTTTTTTTCACTGAAATAGTCATGTGGTGTTCTTCAATTAAAATGTGTGTGACGCCACTCACAGCAAACAATTTAATTTGAAAATACAGATGGAATTCATAACAAATGATGATGATATTTTATTTTCTCTCATTCCATAATTCTGGCTTAACCATATCAATATCAAGCAACTTACATCGGACAATCCTAAACCTTTGACTTGCTCGTTCCAAAAAGATGAAGCGCATAATAATTAGACGACATTTCAAGTTTCTAATAAGAACATCTTGTTTTTAGAATATACTTTCACTTTTTGTTGCATTGCATTTCTCAAAACAAATTAATCAATTTTTTTCATGGCGTGTAAATTTATAAGGGAAATCATTCATAAAAAAATAGAAATAAGGAGAAACCATCAAAATTAGTGACAAAAATCTGACTACGCAAGTAAATCCCAAAAGTATGAAATGAAAATGCTTTCACCTGGCCGACCCAAATTGTAATTCATGTAGAACGTAATTGATCAGTTTAAGTAATTCCGAAAATATATGTAAAACTTTACTGATACCCATCAGAACAGAATACAGATGATGTTTCAGCATCGGGACAAGAAAAATCATTAAATAATTACCACCTTCCCGGAAGGAAGATGAATTAAAGATAATATAAAATGGAGAAAACCTCCAGAAATCAAAATTTACTTTAAACGATGTGTTAAATATAATTTTTTAAAGTAGGAACTAGCATTATATTAATAACATTTGTTTTTTAAACTGTTTCCTCTCTTCTAATGCTATATATCCATAAACTGGAATGTAAATGGGTTTGTTACAAAAAAAGTATATTAAATATCAAACTTGCAAAAATCACATTTTCCAAATTATAATATTAAATGTTAAAAATATATATATATATGCGATACTGTACATGCTGTACATGCGTTACTGTTGTTCCATAAGACCGGGACAAAATAAATTTTGTCCGGTATTGTCAGAAGGTCACGTGACCACAATCGGTAGTTTGTAAACAATATGAATAAATTTTAGAATCTAAACTCCTTGGTATTAATAATTGAAATGTGAAATGTGAAATGTGCATGAGCTTGTTTATTTATTTATCGTTACAAACTATCAAAACCAAACTGACAATACCGGACCGGTCGGGCTGCATTCCTAATATAATAAAATAATCTTTTATTTTTGTTTTTTAAAAAAAAAATGGAGGAAAGCAAATGATAGTTATTTATGGATGATATTTGAATTATATTTGATGATTATTAATTTTAATACTTTTTGTTCACTAAGTCACATGGGTGATTTGCTTAAAATATACTATGTCTCATAACCTGATTTTAATAGCAAACAACACATTATTAATTTCTAAATTTCTTAACGTTAATCAGCAGAATAAATATTTTCTCAAAACGAAAAAGAATAATAATTCCTTTTGAAAATTGGTAATTTATACAATTTCACAAATTTATTTAAATTTGATTTATAAAAATTGTTCTAATTGCGATTAACTAATTGTGTAGAGAAATTATGGTATAAATTATTATGATCCTTATTGTTATTGAAGCCAGCCGTTGAGTCCGCTAAGGTCGCCACTGCAAAAACCAAGCAGAGACGACTTCGGAATTTTCAAAAGACTGAACTTGTGGCTGGGTCATTGAAATAAAAGTTTCATGTTTTTAGACGAATGGAGTTGATCACGGGATATGTCAGCCAAATATTTTAATGAGCATAACCAAAAAAACCGAAATTATAACCCAAAATATAAGTTTTTTTTTAAAAAAAAAAATTTTAATAAGCTAAGTAAAGCTTCAGAGGATGACCTTTTTTTTTCTCAAAAGGAGGATAACTTAAATTTCAAATACATACATGAATTAAATAATTATTTTATTTCTTTTATTCCAAATAAAATTAAATGCAAATAATAAATAATATTTCGTTATTAAAATATATAAATAATTTTTTTTTTTTAAAAATTTATTTCAATTAATAAAAATCGTCTCCTGTGATAATCGTGATAATCGTTTAAGGTTAAATCTCAAAAAAGAAAGCTCCGAAGAAAATTTTAACCATCTTTAATTTCCTAATTTAACTAATCATATGCCGGTGTTCAAATAAATTGATCATCATTGCAGAAAAAAAGGCGTACATAACTCTACTCTGTTGTTGGGCTCAACTTCATAAGGAGTTCGCGTAAAAAAAAAAAAAAAAAAAATGCGAAAATTAAATAAAGTAAAATACCTTACATCCTCTCTCTCCTAATTAAAAATTTTCAGCAATCTACGTTCACAAATAAAATAATGAGTTCAAGTAATTTCACTATTGCAGAATTTCGTAGGGATCATATCTTAAAAATCTTCATTTAACGCTGGCCAATCATCTGTTAGTTCAACATAACTTATTTAATTTTGTAGATACATTAACGGAAATATCAACATTAACGGGTGGAATTTTAATATTTCTCATTGTATATACAACTTTACATTTGATAATATTTCAACGATAACAATTTCTAACGTAATCGTTTATTTCATTAGGGAAAAAATGTAACGACGTTTGTAGTTCTACTCAAATTATTAGATTTTGCTTCGGACGTTGCATTGTTAATAAATATTGGGAATACTTATCCGGACTTATTTTTTCCAAGGTATTCTTAAGACATTATCTTATTTACAACAAATTTCAACTAGTCCAAATGCCTTTTCTTTTATTTTAGCTGCATGACGTTAGCAGCACCAGCATTAATTAATCTTTTGGTTGTACTTGGAGTAATGATTCAACAAACTCAACAAACCAATAGAAGGGATTTTAGGGATTGGTTGAGGGAAAATATTATTATGACAACAATCATCACCATCTTATCGATGGTGGATATAGTCATTATGAAATTACTCGTAGATATTACTAAATTTGATCCTGAAGTAAGAAAATGGCTACTCAGGGTCGGAATATTCAATATCATTAAATATATGCCTCAAATTGTTATTCTTGTAAGTAAATATATTATAATATGAGAGTGTGATAAATGCAAAAATTTCCAAATTAAATTCATTGTTCTCTGTCTTGAAATTAGATACTATATATCAAGGATGCAGGAATAACTATTTTAGTAATATTTACAATATTTACAAGTTTTATAAGTTTATTATTCAATATAATCTATGTAATATACGAGCAAATATCATTTGATTCACAAGATTTAAAGATTTCATTATTGAGATAAACTAAGATAGGTGTAACATTTGCTACGCCACAATATTTTTTAACGGGTACGTGAAATGATCTTATTTATGGTAAAATCGTTTTTCTATCGTTCCTTTCTTTTTACACAGCAGCTTTATGTTTCTATTAATTCATGTATTTTAAGTAACTATAATAAAATTTTAAGTTGAATTAAGGAAATTATAATAGTATCAAACCTTTTAATTAGGCAACTTAATTCTCATGAAATGTCTTGTGAGCATAATGAAAAACATTTACAATTTGTTTAACCTTTTATATGGTGATTGGAATAACTAAAATTCAATTTTGTTTCTAAAGGAGTCGATCGTTCTTGAAAGTTCAAATTTGCTTACATAACAAAACAAAAAATTTTAATTATTCCCTTAATTTAAATCAATAATACAAAAGATATATTTTTTTCACTCAGAAGTGATGAGGTGGTTTTGACCGCATCCATCAAATAATATACAATAAGTTGAAGTTTCTTCATTGATTGGTCGGTAATTTTTTATTGCCTTTTGTTACTTGGGCCGAACAACACCAGTATGGAGACGCGGATGCGGAGCGATCATGTGAACTTGAGATTTTGTGATATCATATGCCCACAGGTCTAAAAGAAAATAAGGTTTTTCATAATATAACAAAATAATAACTTTATTAAGAATATGTACAGTATTTTACAAATTTTAAATTAAAAAAATGTACATTAAAAGAAGGAAAAGAAAGCTAATTTTTTCAATTATAAGCTTGCAAAAATTTCTATGTTATAAAGACCGTTTTTGAAAAAATCATTATTTTTCGAAAATCGATTGGTTAATTTATACCTCGATTTTCTCAAAATCACGAAAATTTTGGGCCGGTTAACAAGAAGGTCTTAACAGGTTTCAAACTCTAAACCCGGCTTTTGTTAGCCGCGTCTCCATTTATTCTCTTTTTATTTTGGATTTGCCTCACTTTGCTGCAATTTGTTTATAAATTTTAATTTGTTTTTAGACGATCTTTTTAGGCGAATTCACTTTGGATTTCGTTTCGGGTTGCCAACATTACCCTCAAATGACTGAGTCATTTGAGTCATGAAATGACATATCTTTTGTCATTAAAACGAACACTGTCTTTATAACGTATCAGAATTTTGATGATCAATGACTCACATAGACACTAACTAAAAATATCACTAGTATTTTATAGGAAGTAGATTTATTAAAAATATTGCAAAATAAATTATATAATTTTGATAATCATTTAGTTTTCAATTTATTCTTAACGTTCCAAAAAAATTTTATATAAAACGTACGATCTACTTCCTATGCAACAAGTGAAAATTATCTCATAGATTATGATAAAACCGAAAGAATCCAAAGGATTCAAATCAATCAAAATGTTTCTAAACCACCATAATCCGGTTTCATTTGCCCAATTGTTGATATTCTGAGTAGAATAAAAAGGTCATCAGTTATATTTATACGAAATACATGTATACAGACTAATATTAGATGTATCTTTCGAACTACGATAATATGCTTCATTTGAATGAATAGTACAGCAAGCACATTTGAATAATTTGATAATAAAATCGAGTTACAGTACGTGAAATAATAAAGATCCGTAATTCCCATTTATTTTTGTAATCAGAGTATATATCAATACATAAAAACCCACTAATCAAAAATCTAATAAAAGTTTATAGTCACGAGAAATCAACCCTCACCTCAAAAAACTCTTTCAAAAACTTATTTTTACAAACTTAAGAAATATTATCGAATGGAAATATCCCAAAATTAACACTATTTTCGTTACTAAATCTTGAAAATAAAAGTACCTTTGATACTACAAGTCAATATAACATACCTGTCGCGTATAAACAAATGAAGACAATCTTCACCGTTTAGCCAATACAGGTATATTTGAATAATAATTTGAAATATTTTGTATACTAACTAAAGGATTAAACATACTAAATTTATTATATCGTTTTAAGATTCAATTAAACGCGTACTGGAACTGTTATTGTAGCTGAGAAGTTTTCGCCTGATTAATGTTCCGGGCGAAACTAGTTTCGCCCAATTTGAACAAAGTGTTTCCAAATTAAGGTTTCGGATAGTTTCGGATATATGAAGCGAAACTGAAAGTTCACTGGGCAAAAAGTTTCGGATTTAAAAAAACGGTTTCGCCCGAAGCACTACGCCTGATCAAGTACAAAAGATTCTTGGAAAACTTGGCTTTGATGAAGATGACGTAGCATCATGGATGAACTCATTGAAGTCCCTTTTGGGATTTCTTCATCTCTCTTTATAGCCCGTGTTATCATTATTCATGGTTTCCCATTTCAACACATTAAATTTTATCCGGAACTTGAAAATATTTACATGTATATCGGTAAAATTGTACAAAATAAAATTCAATCAGTGAATCCTGAAAGAATCTTGGGTGGAAATGTTCTAAGCACCTTCCCAGCAAATATATTTACATACAAGTATCAATTTAGATCAAATGAACAGAAGCTAGCCAGATAAGAGACAAATTTGGTGATAGAAAAAAATTTCTCTACCGTGAAATTAATTCTCACAATAATAATGCAATTCTTTCAAAAGGGTTTATGGATGCAATATTTCAGGGTTCCTTAAAAATGAAATTGGGCTAAGGCTATATACTACTCCAAGTATTGATTATGTCATTTAATATGCTGCTTATTTTTGATTGGTCTAATCCTGATAAAAATCTCACATCTAGGCTTTTAAATGATTTGGAGGAATAATGGGATGATAATAACACATCTTCAAGAATCCCTTATCTCCTATTTGAAGAATGAAAGATCTGCTTCTAAAAAAAAAAAGAAGAAATAACTCATCTTCTAGAACAAACACCTATATCCTATTCGAAAAAGAATAAAAGATCTACCTCGAAAATAAAGAAAAAAAAGTTAGTAAAAAATCAAAGTTCCAAAGAAGACTTACCTTCTATCTGAAATAACTAAAAATATGCTCTTAAAAAATTAATAAAATTAGTAAATAAATAATATAAGTTTAAGGTAAATTTTGATTATAAATTTATAGAACTTATATAGTAAAATAGTATATATTTTTAAAATTAATTTCAGAATTTCAGAGAAGATATCATATTTCAGAAGAAGTTTTAGATTTTAGAAATAATTTCAGTTTTAGATTATAGATTTTGAATTTAGATATTTTTAAAATGATAATATTAAATAAAATTATTATTTAAATAATAATAAATTTATTTATTAAAAGTTTACTTTATAATATAAAATATATTAAATAATATTAAAAAATAAAGTCTTACAATACAAGAAGTTTGTTAAAAAACCAATTATTAATAAAGTAAATAATAGAACATCTGATTAAATTTTTCCATCAATCCATTTGAATGGTAAGGTAAAAAGAGTCTATGTCTATAATTTATAATATGATTTTATGTAAACCTTTTATAGTTTTTTTGTAAATATTAAAGATAATATTTCTTGTTTTAAAAATTAAAAATATATTATAATTAAATATAAAAATATATAAAAATGTTAAATTATAAAAGAGCGCGTTTCCATTAAATTACATTATAGATCATATAATTTACTATGCCTCATGACTTAATTTTACTAGAAATATTCCCATATAATAAAATAATAATCACAAATTTAATCAAATAAATTGATATATAATTAATTAGAAATTTAATCAAAAATTTAAATATAAAAAAATCATGAAATTTAAATCAAAAATAGTTTATATCATTTCTATATTTAAATTAAAAAAAAGTTTAAATAAAATGTAGCAATAAATTAAAATTAATAGCATTTCTAATTTTTTTACTGTAATTAGTTGTTGAATAAAAATTTATCTAATAAAATTTTTTAATTTTTTTCTATCATAAATAAAATCACTTTTTTCAATAAATTTTTTTTATTATATTATATATTGAAATTACTAAATTGTTTTCCATTAAAATTAATATTAATATAGTATATATTTTTTTACAAATCATTGATTTTGTAAAATTTTTTTAATATATATTTTATATGGCTTTTTTTCTTAATCATAATTATTGATAAGAGTTAATTATTTAGTTTATACTTATAATTTGAATAAAAACTATAAGTAACTAAATAAATTTATTGATAGCTTTATATATTCTCTTATTTTATTTTTTAAATAATTCAATTTGAATAATCAGACTAAAAATCTTTTAAGGATATTTCTACATTATTTTGATAAATTATTATGAGGCAATATTTTATAATTTATTAAATTTAATAGATTATCTTAATTCTAAATAATAAGATTACAAATTCTTTCATACTAATAAACCATATAATATTCATATGAAAAATAGAAGGCTTTATTATTTTATTAATTTATATTAGAGAATAAACAGATTCAAAAGCCTTTAATAATTTTAGTATAGAATTAACTATTCTTTTTATAATATAATAATACAGATGATAATAATTAGCAAAATTACAATAAAAGTAACAAGTAGATTATATGAGAGGTTTACTAGAAAAATAGGATCTTGAAAATTTTTTTACTAAAATTTAATTTTTATTTTATTTTAATCTAATATCATCAAAAATTAAAATACAATAAAAATCAAAATTAAATTTTAGTAAAAAAATTTTAGAACTATTTTTTTATCAAATCTTTTATATAATATAAAACAAATAATTATTTTATTAAAAAATGTAAAATATGTAAAGTATATAAAAAATTATAAAATAAAAAATAAATCAGATTAGAAAAAATTAGTTATTAAAAAAAATGAATAATTAATAAACTAAATAAAAAATCTAATAGAATAACTTAAAAAATAAAAAGAAATAAAAATTAATAAATTAATTCAAATATATTAAAAGATTATACAAAATTTATAATATTTAAAAAAATAAAATAAATCATGTAAAAGTTTATATAATATAAATGTAATATATGGGAGGTTTGCTAGGAAAATAGGGCTCTAAGCATTTTTTATGAAAATATTAAGATTTATTGCATTTTAATCTAACATTATTAAAAATTAAAATGCAATAAAAATTAAAAATTTAATGAAAAATTCTCAGAGCCCTATTTTTCTAGCAAACCTTCCATATGATATCATAAAGGTAGAAATAATATGCTAAAAAAGTTAATAAAATATTTAATAAAATAAAAATTATAAAAAAAATAGAATATTAAATATTATCTGGGTTTTGCAAGCAAATTTGCTTGCTTATTTGCTATAAATTCTTTTCTGATTTACTTTTATAAATAATTAATATTTTAAAAAAAAATTTTTTTTTAAATTAATTATATAAATATGTAATATATTATAATAAGTTTTATCTTTTAATTATATAATAA